ACAAGGATATAACTGTAATACTTCGCTTATACGTGAACGAAATTAGTATCACCTTTAATTTGTAATTGAAAATATTTTGCACGGCAAACCATATCACTATTATCTCTTGTAAAAAAACCTCTTTTTTTATGATAGAGGAGGACAGACAATGATGGAGTTCACTTGATGGTAAGTAAAATATCCCAGCCTCTACTCTAGCATCTAAACGGATGCGCTGTCCGTCCTACTGAATATCAAAAGCCAAAATAGGCTTTGGATATTCGGATACGCACGGACTAAAACGAAACGTAACGTATACTTCACGGCTTTTCATCTGTGGACTGTGGTTCGTGACTGGGGCGGAATTTCGATCTGCCTACCACCTTTAACCACTTCAACCCTTACCACATTTAACATCGAGATTTCCAGACGAAGCCCAACATGTTTCAGAAAAATTATAAATTGATTACAAAAATGTTGGACCCGATGAGGATCGAACTCACGTCATTTTAATTATTGAGATCTACATTGCAAAACACTATGCTTTCTAATATTAGGTTTAATGAAAAAATGTTTAGGTTTTGATAAAATCTTGCATATAAGCGTAAATACATCGTACATAATTTTGAGGAAACCACTGAAATATCAAAAATATGTTATGAAATCCTTCGATATAGGATATTTACGTATTGCCTAGTAATAAATCCAGATGGCCATTTACGCATGCATATATCAAGTACCTAGCAACACTAGTAGTTATCTCAATTTCAAGCCTTTTGGTGGCACAAGTTACAGAAGTGAGCGATAAATAAAAACGTGACCTATTATAGTTTTAAAAGTATACATATGATTGAGGTAAGAGTAAAAAATTATGTTATATTCCTTATTTAAAATTAGTAAAGATCGTTTAACAAATCAAAAAGTGGTCGGAATAAGGCTTTTGATCTAACCACCTCATCCATCGACCGGATTACTGTTTGTGTATTTTAAATCTTACAGGAGTGTGAATGTTGAAAGTGTGTGTTTATCTATCTGCAATGTGACAAAGTAAGAAATCTAGGTAGCAAGTACACTGCCTGAGAATACTGTATCGTAGAAACAAATTTTATTTTTTATTTTTTAGCACTTTATTAAATTATACCCCTAGCTCGAATTAATCATTCATAAAAAAGTACAATAAACATACCTTCGGAACACCTTTTTTATAACTTAATATGCTCCATTATATTATACTATTTTATTGAGAATAGTTGTTTAACAATTTCCTATCGCACCTCAAATGTTTGCCGCTAGTGACGTTCCAGAAACAATTTTTCAACCGTGTGTTTACAAATAAAGCGTCATGCGTAGTCCTTTGTCTTAATTAAGTCATTTTTATTTTTCTGACTTCTTTTTCTTTCTTCTTCGAAACATGTGCCACGTGCAATACCGTTAAACAAAACGCTATTTCTCACAACATGGACCACATTTTCATTCTAAGAGGCTTAACTCCATTAGTTACGGCCAAAACGGTTGCCTTTAAATATGCAAACCACAGGCTACGATTGAATCGAACCCGTCCGACCTGACTCAAATTATAATGAAGCCTCTAACCGATGCCATAATTAAAACAGCCACAATTACCAATACGATAATATTGTTTGAGTTACCTACTCCTAAACAAATACGTCAATTGAATGAGGGTAGGAATAACATTTTAGTTGTGTCTTAAATCCAATTACAATTAATAATTTTATATTAAAATTTTATTCTTACTTCAGTATTATACCTTGGGAAATTAAAATTATTATAATTAAGATGACCATTACATAGTGAAATGACTTGATTTTTTTGTAAATATTCCATGGGAAATACAGATGGTAACGCAATGAATAAATCTCTAGTTTCTATCGTTATCCCTAGTTACCACGGCTGCTGAAAAGCATCTGAAGCGTTGGGTCGTTGTAAAAACTAATAAATTGAAATATTTCACGCATTAAGCCGTTGCAAGTGTTTTATTAAATGTGTACACTCGCGTAAACTACAGACAACATTTAAGACGCTTTATAAGTTTAGATTTAAGACATTAATTTAGGCAAGAAATAAATTTTTACTTCAGCATAAACACAATAATATACAGCACATAATATTATATAGTATACGCGAGTAGGTACGAAATCACAAGTATTGGTTTCAAATACTCCTCTGCACTATTTTAAATATTGGTATTTCTATACACTAATACACAAAGCAATTCAAACTATGCAACGGGCTCGTTGGTCTAATGGTAGCAACGTATGGCTAATGCTCAACGGGTCCCGGGTTCGATCCCCACCAGGTCCAACATTTTTTTAATTTTTCAATTTCTAATTTTTCTTAAACATGCCGGACTTTGTCTGATACTCTGAATTTTAAATTGGTGGTGGGAATATAGAAATTATGTCCGGGTCACGAACCGTCCACAGATAAAAAAGCCGTGAAGGTTTCAGGCTGTGTGTCCCGAATAGGTCGATAAGATGTGCTATAAACCTATTTTGGCTTCGTGTTTTTCGTGGCTTTCGCTGTGTTTAGATTCTATAGGCTGGGATATATCACCAACAATCATGTGAACTCCATGCCATGTCTCCTTTATAGTAAAAAAACTCAGCTGTAAATTAGAATTTCACGTAAGTAAATAGATAATACTTAATTATACTTTTTCACTATCTATAAACTGTCTGTTGTGTACATATACTATTAAACTTAACCGATCACTTATCTCTTAGTATTAAACGGTACAGGAAAATCAATATTAATTAATAAATGTGATGTTTGTGATTCCCACAATACGGTAACCCTTTGATCTTGCCACATTTATCACAGGCATAAATTATATGAATACGTTATACATGTGAGTTGTTTTTATCTGTTACTATAATGATATACAAATAAAAACATTAAAGCAACGTTTTTAATACAAAAAGCTTCAAAATTAAATATTAAAACCGTTAAATATTAAAAAACCAAAAAATAGTTTATCCCCACCCGGGTGAGCTTCTGTCCAGCTCTTCAAACCTACCCTATTGCGGCGGTCCAAGCCGAGGCCGATGCCCCCCCGGGGGCCCCCTTGTTCTCGCCCCCCAACCGCGGCGAGCGCTACGCTCTCGCCCAAAACTCCGGTTAGTATTCGTGGCTCCATAGGAACACTACGTAATAATCAACAAAAAAAAAAAGTTTATCGGCTGTACAGTCATTTTTATAAGTTTACTTTATAGGCCTTAAAAGGATCATAACACTTCCTTCATTCGATTCCGATACATAAAAAAACAAACACATACTACACGTAAACATTAACGTCCTACTCCGTGTCCTACGTAAAATTTTATTCAATTAATTTAATTTTTTTGATTTAGGTATACAATATCATGTGCAAAACATTAAAGGATTGAAAAACCTATACTATAACAACCTCTACTTAGTTTGATTAATGCCATTTTAACATTTAATAGAAAGTGGCATTTATCAGATATGAACTCGTGTGGTCTGGAGGGAGTCCCAAACGGATTTTCTAACATAAACACCTGTCCACAGTTTACTATATGTTTATCTTTCATTTTGCGAGACAATTCCATATTAATCATGGCAACCCGCTCTGTATCTTTTGTGTAGGTATAGATCACGGCAGATAGTGTAGCTTCGCGTATCTTTATGGCATCTGAACATAAAGGAAGAGAAGAATAATGGTCCTCGATACGCACATTTTGAAATGGAACAATCACTGTTACTGATGCCTTTAATATAGAGACTGAGATTAAAATAATAGAAATTGCATACCGCATTTGTATTCTTCAGTCTTCAGTTAAAGTCTTAATAAGATCGAGTAATTTACAGTTAATTCTCACAAATAATTATTATTTTAAGTAAATAAATATATAATCTATCTATTACACAAAAAGCTTAGCCTCACCATAAATGTTTATACAAATACTGAAAAAATTACAGTATATTTTAAATAAAACACTTTAACGGTTTAAAACGTGATATATATTAGTTAAACAGTAAACTTATTTGAAAAATATTTTAACTACGGTTCGTCGTTTCGGATACTTTGCAGCAGCCGTGGTCACGGTGAGGCTGGCTAAGGATCGAGGGTGTTTCTGACATCCGAACGATTTGATCTGTCGAAGTTGGTATTTGACGAAACTGACCGGGTCCTTGCAGAAATGCCGTTAATGTCCTACTCGCATAAACAGTCTATGACAGTATTTTTTCAGTAAATAGTAATAAAATAAAAAGTAACATTCTGAATTATTCAGTTTATACCTACAAACACACATATGCAAAAATGCACGGTAATCATTTACAAACCGGAAAAACATTCGATGATTATTATAGAAATATATATATAGATAGGTAATTGACAGATAAATCACTATCACTTTGAGTTATCAGTAATTTAATAAATGTATGTATGACTACTATAACTACTAACTACAGAAAAACTCTGTTAACAGCAAAATCCCACTGCTCTTACAGTTTAATAATAAAACATTTCAGTTACAATAAATTGTATGTTGTTACATAAATTAAATTAAATCTACGATTATCACAGCACAGCGGACGTAGCGAAGTAATGAATTATTTCGGTCGAACAAGGCACAGTCTATAGTCTATACATATGATTGTTCTTCGGGCTGTTCGGCCGACGAGAGCGAGAAGAGGTTCGCCGCTCGCGTCGAAAAACAATGACACGAACGATGGCCGCCGACAAACCAAAAGCCTTACACAATTTACACACACAGACTAATTGTTGTAAAATTTACTTGTGACGTAGAAAAAGAAATATAAAACAGGTCACGTTTAAAGTGATGGAAGATAGTTTTAGGCTGTGTGGGTACTACGGCGATTATGATAAATTCAATCAGGTAGCAAAATAATTATATTTCGTCCAATCTTAAAATCGCACAGATAACAAACCATTATTGATATACGATCCAATAAATCATACACCAGTTTGCTGTTCACGGCATTTCTTGGAGAAAGGTGCTAGTGGTTGGACCATAATGACTGTGGATCCCGAAATTGTGGGTAACAAGGAAGTAGGTGGTGCGTACGCGCTGAAGGTATTTCAGGCGTCGCTAAATATTTTGTCTCATCTACTGATCGGAATTGTGGTGGGAGTTTCACTTCTCTTCTCCTTCAGAAATGGATTGCCCTTAAATGTTATTATGTTGCACATTGTTCTCTGCGTTATTGGAGTAAGTTATTTCCTAAACAACTCGGGTAGTAATTTAGAGATAATATATGAACTGTATTTTATTATTTGATCAAATAATAAAATACAGTTTATTATAGTTTACTTATATATATATAGTTTATTACATGAATAGTAGAGACAAAATTGTTAAAGTAAAAATAGTGTTCCGTCGTACGCATATACATTGTGATATATTTTATTGTGTACTTTTACTCAGTAAACGGGTTTCTTTTAAATCACTTTAATTAACATTATTTTATTTCTTAACAGTTCTTATGGTCTTTGCTATATTCATTTATGAATTAGTTTGCTAGATATACATTTTGAATCTGCTAACTTAACGAAAACTCCTCACTACATAAATAGTATAAAATACAGTAGTTTTTTTCTGTCCCTTTGTGCGCTTACACCTTTAAAACTACGCAACACATTTTGATGCGGTGTTTTTAAAGAGATTCAAGAGGGAGGTTTTTATATACAACTTTCACAGTTTTTCTGTAATGTATTTAGTACCAGAATTGCACCCGAACGAAACGAGGCGGGTCGCTAGTTAGATATAAAACTTATACCTAAAAATGATTGCAATTTGCAATTAACAATTAATTAAAACAACACTTGTAGCATCTTATCCATTACCGTACTAGTATCTTGGTTTTAATAATTGCCGCAAACGACACAGTCATTGCTTAAATTTGGTTGTTATATATCCAACTTTTTAGACATAATATATTATTATTATATTTTTATTATTACCTTTTAGACATAATATATTACATTATAACATGATATCACGGTTAGTAAATACACTTTTTTTTCAGTATCAACTCCTAATGGCAGAATCTATATTAAGTTTATCAGCTGACAACGGCTGGTCTGGTGTTTTGAGATTCAAAGACAAGCGGATGGCCCACACAATCCTACAAGTCGGAGGTTCCGCTCTTGCACTAGTTGGGAGTTTTCTTGTTATGGTCGATAAGACCGTAAATTTCAATACACTGCATGGACAATTCGGTGAGTTCAACACTCCAGCTCTTTTAGCTTGCTGTCAGTATATCATTAGGCATATTCACACAAATAAGACAGCAAATCTATTAGACCACCCTACTTACTTTATTTATTTATTATTTATTTAAAAGGTTACCAACTTATGTTAAATTTACATCTAAATATATCATTAATTTAAAAAAAACAAGATAACCGCACCTAAAAATTAAAGGTGAACACCCTTTTTTAATTTATATGAATACCTATTTACCCAATAGGTGCGGAACCCTGTTATGCTATAAGGACCAAGCGGTCTCCTCAATTTTTAACGCTCGTTGTAAATAATAAGTTTTTAATGCATCTTATTCTAAAAATTTGTGGTCAATATATTAAGACAAAAAGTTCCAGCAACAAAATGCTTATATTAAAAATATGTAATATTTTTTTTATAAATAACATCGTTATACTAAATAATACACTAAACTTTACCTTAGAACAGATTAGTATATCTGAAGAAAAATTCACTTAAAAAATTTTTTTTTTGCCTATTCTGAAAGTATGTTAACGTGAAAATTGCTCGGTAAAAAATTTGGTACACATCGTCTTTTTATTGCTTAATAAAATCGTCAGTAAAATTGAGTGATACAAAATATCTAAAATTTATTAAACAAGTCAATTCAAATTGTCAACGCAAAAAAGAATTAAAACTATAATCCACAAGTAGTTGTGACACGTTCAAAACAATAATTACATTAATAATAACAGTGATTGGAACTTAGGACACTACACGAACACAACAGGAGATTTTAAACATATCTACCCTTTGTTTTCTTTCATTAAAAACGTATTTATTTTAGGTCTTGTAGCTGTGGTATTCACTGCCGTCAGCCTTGTGAATGGCCTCACCTCGCTCTACGCTTTTGAATGGAGAAGATTTTGCCCTGGCAACATTTCCAAGATCACACACATCTGTTTCGGTATCGTCGCATTCGCGTCCTCTTCCATCAGCTTGTGTTATGGCTTTGACAAATTCTCCTTCAGACTGTGGGCTAGTGACGCATTCACGAATGCTACTATAGCTTGCACGGCCTGCTTCACAACTATAATCATTATCAATCCAACAATTAACTTCTTCAAGAAATCATATCGCTTAATTGTTAAGTAGTGTATAATGAGATATATATTACACTGTAGAATCTCAAATTGGTGAATAAAATACGTTAAGAGAATATTGATAAGTTTTATTTGGTATTATACTTCTTCCACATTCACACATATGCCAATGTGCTGTGTGTACGCTTATCGTGATATCTGGAGAATACGCTAAATTTAATCGCGTGCGCTGACGAATATAATTTGCACGACGAGCACTCTGTGATTTATTGCCAATATCAAATTCATTCAAAAATCTTGAACACCATTCCTTCCGATGTTGTCTCACGAATTTTCTTTTTAGCATTAATTTAAATTGAAAGGCGTACATAGGAGTTTTTGTTGCATAACTTTGAATTCAATCTTTAACCGACGGAGTCCAGCGACCAATCTACTACAAGTGGCGATAACAAATTCATAATCGGTATCCGATCTCATAAATAAAATTATAGAATATTCTACATGTCACTCTTCTGAATAGTGTAGTAGCGAGAGGACGGAATTGAAAATGACTTTCGACCCCGAAAGTGCTAATAAAGCTGAAGGTGGGGCATACGCCCTGAAGATCTTCCAGGCCACTCTTAATATCCTGTCACATCTGTTGATCGGAATTGTTGTGGGGGTGTCTCTGATATTCTCCTTTAGGAATGGCTTACCGTTGGGAGCTACTATGCTGCATATTGTTTTATGTGTAGTGGGGGTAAGTTAAAAGATAAAATAAAGTACTCAAATGAAAAGTCGCATGTCTAGTTATTGTTAAATTATAATTAAAGACTATTAATATTGCAATACAACGTTGTAAAGAGTGTCATTATCAAAATAATGTATAAGTGAGTATTTATTACGAACGTTGATGTAACAGACTGAGAAATCTTGTATTATCTTTTAGTAATATATTCGTAGGTTTAAGTCGAAAAAAACTCTACGTTATTATTCAAGTATGTGTTCAACGTTGGTATAACAAAAATAGCATGTTAGTTTCAACCGTCCCTTATAGTTTAAAGCCTTTTGAATTTATAGTAAATAGGTATATAATTAGTGGAAAAAAATCACCAAATCTTATCAAAATCAGTCCAGCAGTTCGTGTCTCAGACGTTAAGTCACAAAAATCTATCCTACTAAACTTTGACTGTTTGTATTTTCAGTACCAACTTCTCATGGCGGAAGCTATCCTAAGTTTGTCAGCTGACAACGGCTGGTCTGGTGTTCTTCGCTTCAGGGACAAGCGCAGGGCGCACACCATCTTGCAAGTCGTAGGTGCTGCTTTAGCGATCGCTGGTAGCTTTATTAAAATTATAGACAAGACCAGGAACTTCAACACCTTGCACGGACGATTCGGTACGTTTAACGAAAATCTTAAAAATGAAAATTTGCCCCTGAATTAATATTTTCAAGAAAAATACGAAATATGTCAATCATGCAGCATCTAAAACTTTAATATTTTTTACATGTTATTGCATATGAAGGCACGATATAATTTAATAATCGATTCAATAAGTAAAAAAAAGTCGATGACGAGGTGTAGGACTCGCTAGCTCAATTGGTAAAGCAACAGCACGCAACGCTAATGACGATGCCGGCTCAAGTCCTGCCCGAGGCGAAAACTTTTTCAATTTATTATCGATTTTTAAATCCAGCATTTAGTCATTCTAACGTCAAAAAAAAAATTTACGCATACTTGAATGAGGCTGGTTAACCTTTACTCTGATAAAATTCTGGAGATAAAAAATACGTGCTGTGATAAAATAAGGCGAAGGATCAATGACAATAAATATAGTTTCCGATAAGAAATATTGTATGAGATATAAGTTTCTAGCTCTCTAAAAATTAGCAATTTTATATTAGAAGGACAATGCAAATTAGCCATTATAGCAATTTGCACAAGTCGAGTAAATAAATTTATTAATTACTAGCTGTGCCCGCGACTTCGTCCGCGCCGAATAGTGACTTGGGGTAGAATTTTTAATTATTTAGGCTGTTTATTGATTTATGTAAGTGCGCATTTAAGGCAACCAATCTATGTTGTAAGTGCTACTTTGCCCTAAAGTGCTACTTTGTGCTAAAGTAGCACTCTCACCTCACATCACTCCTATTCTAACTCGAACTTTCACTCCCACTCCTATTCCCAAAAAGCCAAAGAAGAAAGTTTTATTGTTCTAGCTTTCAAATAGAGTAAGAGAAGCTTATTAATTAAAAACTAAAAGCAACACAAGAAAACAAGAGCGGACGAACTTTTAAGTTGTCTTCTTATTGTATAATCTATTTTATTTAGTATTAGAAATAAAAACATCATTACAAATATCTCAATTCCCTACGATAACATTTTTGGCATCTTTACAGGTCTTGTGGCCCTAGTATTTACAACCGTGAGTCTTGTGAATGGCCTCACCTCGCTGTATGCCTTCGAATGGAGACGGTTCTGCCCTGGAAACATTTCCAAAATCACGCACATCTGCTTTGGAATTGTCGCGTTCGCTGCTTCTTCCATCAGTCTATGCTACGGTTTCGACAAGGTATTCTTCCGTATGTGGGCGTCTGAAGCCTTCACCAATGCCCTTATTGCATTCACGGCGTGTTTCACTGCTATCATCATCATCAACCCCACCATCAACTTCTTCAAGAAGAGTTACCAATTAGTTAGCAAATAAATATTTAGCCACTAAAGAGTACGGAATCTCAAAGACGAGAAATAACGAATTGGAATAATTACTTAATCTGTAAGCTGTTTAATATTTAAGATACGAGATATTCTGTTATTACTGTTTGAGTGTATTTAAAAATATAATATTACATTATTTTCCAAATATTTTAGTTATTTTATTTTCTTCCTAGCGTCAAAATTTATTTTAAATGCATAGCGTACTGAGTAAAAAATTGATAGTAGGGATAAAATATGCAGTAAATAATTACTGCAGTATTTTAATATAATTAAAATAATATTCAAGGTATCAGAGGTAATCGATGTCAAACGGAAACATGAAATAAAGAAGAATAAGCATTTTTAATGTAACCATAATAAACTTCAGAATGTATGTTTTGTTAGACCGCCTGTGTAGCCAAATTGTTAAACGTATTGCCTAGCATTGCGTTAAGCGCGAGAGGTCCTGGGTTCGAATCCTATGAAAACATAAAATTGTTTCGGTCGGGCAGTGCACAGAGTCTGAACTACTTGCCCGTTAAAAGAACGGATCAGTGAAACGGACACAGAAATGTGTTCGCCCCATGCCCAACGAGGGGGAAACGGGCTTTCACACAAATGTTTTGTTAGCTTATCCAAAAATACGTAAGTACTTTTAATTACTACTTAGATAATCTATGAATTTTGGAGGGGCAGAGTTCCGTTGATTATAATTAGATATTATCATGATATTATCACAGTCTTGGATTATGATAACCGAGTGCAAATAATTATCGGATATATGTTTTATCGTTTGTATGTGGTAGTTGAAATATTATAAATCATTTGAATTCAATTATATACTGAATCGTGTGATTATCATTATATTGAATAACAAATTATGTCATAATTATTTTATTATAAAAAGTAAACATGAAAGAGTAGGTTTTAGCAGATAAAACTCACTAAAACTATGAAGTCTAAGAAATTTCAATGAATAGTAGAGTAACGACTAAACACATGAAAGCTGTATCTACCTCATCTAACATAAAGGACTTCACTTTTTCTACAAGCATTGAACTATAACTGGCAGCAGAAATTATTATATTCTATAAAACTGATGACTAATAATTCCTCTATACACTATTCTTACCATCAAGTAAACTAAATCCTCAAATGACCACTCTGAAGCATTTCTTCAGAAGACCAAAGCATAGACAGATTGAGTAATAAATGTTGTGTTTGTTTCTTAGTAGTTTTATGGAAGAAACTTTGGACACTTGTTGATAATCGTAGAATCAAAAAACAAATCGCAAATAGTGCGTTTTTATTCAGTCAGTAATCAAATATAAATGGATAATTACCGATTTTGTATTTTGAATTAACTACTAATTGAAATAATAAGAAAGACTCTTTAGCATATCTTCTTTAAACCATCTCGAGTTCAAACAATAATGTTTTCGATAAAACAATTGAATACGAAAAATGTATGTCTTGAAGAGAATTACGTCAAAGGAAACCGTAAAATTAGAAATAATTAATTGTCACGTCTACATACAAGAACCCTTCACATTACGTCTCTACGAACGGCAATTTACATTTTCAATTTATTTCCAGATAGTTGTATCTTTGGTTAGATTATTGTTAATTAAGCCATGAATCATTTCAAGTCATACGAGACATATGTAAGACAATTTACATTGTATTTCTTATCTACCGTACTTGGGAATAGCTTTTTATTACGTTTAAGCCAACACATGATAGATATATTATATATAAATATAACAGTATATTATATAAACAACCTATTTATTTGATTAATATGAAAACCCGGATATGAAATAAAAATTTAGCGAATGTCATCGCCGTAGATAAGGTAATTATTATAATACGGAAAATACACGTGTAGGTACAAAATTATTTATTCCAGATAAAATATTTGCGTGAGATCAAACTGATTAATATTGGAATTAATAGATCGCCGAAGAATTTTCAAGATAAATATAATCATTTTCTATAAAATTATATTTTTCTAATTGGTACTAATCAAAGAGATATAATTTTCCATATCTCTTGAGAAACGCTTTGTAACGTAACGGTAAAACACAACCCAGCTTTGCGCTAAGCGTCAAAAATCGTGACCTCAAAATATGCAAAATTTCGGTTCAATAGTTTCGGACAGGCATCCATGAAGATTAAACTACATTACTGCATTTTCATATGATCTTCATAGCTTCCCATTTCCCGCCTACCGCTGTAGCCAAATGGTCGAACATGTTGCCTAGTATTGCGTGAAGCGCAAGAGGTCTTGGGCATATTCGAATCCCAGGAAAAAAAGCCTTGATTCACTTGTTTGTTTACATTTATAACTTAAATCTAATTGCGCAAAAGGTGCATGTATCAATAAGTTAAAAAAAATCGACGATGACGTGTAGGACTCGGTAGATCAATTGGTTAGAGAAACAGCACGGGACGCTCACGATGCCGGTTCAAGCCCCGCCCGTGTCGTTTTAAATTTATAATCGATTTTTAATTTAACTTAAATCTATCTACGTATATATGCATAGAGCATGCGAATGGAACGCACCAAATCTCGAATTGAGCGCGAACCATGACGTCACAATTTCACAAACAGATATACTGGAATGCACTAATGTATTCAAATACCTCCCGAAGGCAAGCATATAATTGGAATTAACATATCTGTCAATAGCACTGATCGTTCTCTGCGGGAGATATTAAATCCAATGTATAACAAGACTACGCAGTACAATATATTTTCTTAGTAAATTCTTGATTGAAGAAACTGTGTACGCCCTTCACATACATATACAAATACATACATACAAAGGACTCATTATTATCATGAATTTGCTTTTTTATGTTTCCCAGCTATTTTCAAAGCTTTAATGATTCCACCACGATCGGTAGATCTGATCATTTTTGAAAATACCAGAATTTATAATCACATGAAAGTTTCAACAATATTTTCACAAGTTGAGTTAAGTGAAGTTTAATCGCATTTTGGTTTCATTTTATGGATTTCCTAATATCCAAAGCCAAAACCCATCGACAGCGTATCTTGTTTAAATGTTATATGGCTTCATCACCTTCCATAACTTCTATCGCCCTTCTATCCTAAAAACTCAATGACACAGGCAAAACGCTAACGTGCTCTACCAATTGAGCTACCCTTAGCCATATGCCATCATGTAGTTTAATCCACTTATGCAACTCTCGCACCATACAATATTATAACACTTAAGTAATATTACTTCTAATACTAATATTTTTAAAATCCAATATCATAAATTTTACCGCCGTAATGATCCATAAATGCATACTATAAAGTGTATTAATTTGATTTTATTGATCATACTCTCATATCTGATAGCATTTCTCACGTCTCCTGATAGTGAAAACCGCGATAAAATAGTCACTTAACAAAAATTTACGATGTTCTACTTTTTGCGTGTAGCAAGTCATCGTTATATTTATTACTAGCTGAGCCAGCGACTTCGTCCGCGAGAATTATTATTTTGGGCATCCAAATTAGGTTCTCCAAACCCCGTCATCTTTATAAACTTAAGCTGTTAGCCACGACGTCGATCGCGACCCTTCCCGTCGTTCTTGCAAGCTAATCTTAAAAGATAGACATATAGCGTCGTGGACATTTTTTCTAGATAATTTAAAGAGGAATAATTCTTTAATAGGCGTTTTTTAGTTATCTTGAACCGTTTTCGCAGCGTACGCAACTGAAACCCACAGAGATAAAAAAATTACCCCGTTTTGTTCACTTTTCACGCTGTATGTTCGCTTCTATTAGTCACAGCACGATTATTGCCTATAGCCTTCCTCGATAAATATTCTAACCAACACAAAAAGAATATTTCAATTCGAACCCGTAGTTCCTGAGATTATCGCGTTCAAACAAACAAACAAACTCTTCAGCTTTATATATTAGTATAGATATATGTTTTATAGAGGACAGACGATCATAGGATTCTTGAGGTGAAATAACCCTGCCATACAAATTATCACATTACATATTTATCTGATTGCCGTCTTCCTCTATAAAAAAATATTGTATAGAGTCACATCGAATTATTAAGTGATACACGTGTTTACATCCTCATTGTATATTTAATAAAACAAGTTATCATAATTAAACTCGTATAAAACACTACAAAGCAGATAAGGATATACACCACAGTTATCCCGGCCCAATCTTTAAAGGGCGACGTACAAAGACCAAAACAAAAGCTAATAGATGATACTATGAATGTTGGTATACCGAAGGTAATGTGGAAAATCTTGAGGTACCGTCCTCCGAAGAGACCACAAGGCCCCGATAAAAACGCCAGGCAAGCAAACACGCCTGCTATCACACCTAAAACGAAATAAGCAATTCAAATATGTATAATTTAACATACGTTTTATAAGGCATAAGACGATGTAAATTGTGTAACTATAAAAAAGCGTTATATATAGTTGAAATATCTTAGTACGCTTTTATCTCTAAAATAGTCTATACTAATATTATAAAGCTAAAGAGTTTATTTGTTTGTTTTTGCATGAGCGCACTAATCTCACGAACTGGTCCTAATTGACAGTTTTTTTAGAGCATTTATCGAGCCTTCGAGACTATAACATATAACATCGTTAGCTATAGGAGCGAAGTAACAGTGGGAAATGTGCAAAAAACGGGGAAAATATTTATCTTGGTGGGTTTCGGATGCGTGCGCTGCGAAAACGGTTCAAGATACCCAAAAAATATGTATGAAAGAATTATTCCTCATTAAATAATCTAAAAAAATGTCCGGGACAGTATATAAATTCTACGTCGTTCACGTCGCATTGTTCTTGGAACGCGACGCGAACGACGTAGCGAACAGCTATATTTTAAGGGATGAGGAAGGAGCAAATTTTGCCGACCAAAATTCCTAGTCGACGCGGACGAAGTCGCTGACATAGCTATTTATATACGTTGTATGCGTCCTTTGAAAACAGAAGTAATGTATAATCAAAACATATAATAAAATCATACTTCTAAATAAATCTTTAAAGCACATCACCTATTACCATTATTACACGAATATAATAATAACAACATCTATAAAAATTCGACTGTCAGTATTATCAATTAAACATGTTTTAGTAAATAAATATTTTTTATTGTTTTTGTCGTTTTTTACCTTTAATCATAATTATAGTATAACTCCCAATAATTGTACTAAGAAGATATACCATTTTTAATTCAAGAACCATGAGTTACTTAAAATCTAATACAATCAACAAACTCTTGTCCATATTTTAAATATTTAAACTTCAGCAAATACCTCACTTTAGCCCGAAGCGAAAATGAGTTGTAAACTAGTTAAAATTTTAGATGTATTTTGAATAAAGTAATTTTAGTTACATTAACAGCTGTGTTGAGTAGTTTTCATCGAATACTGTGCTATTTTGTTTACGAAGTAAGTTCAAAATTTCACACTCTTCAGCTAGAAATATAAATTAAACTCAGCAGAAATTAAATTAAACTGATGCTTTCAGCGACACGATGTGTGAATATCTTCTTTATAAGGTCTAAAGTAAGTTTTCGGTAATTTATTACATAAAATACAATTAGCGAGAGGTGTATGTATCAACGGTGTACAGAAATTAGACGATGACGGACACGGTGGCTAAATTGGCAACAGCAGCAGCTCAATACGCTGTGGATGCAGGTTCGAGTCCCGTCCGTGTCGTGATTCTTTTTATCTATATGGATTTCTAATTTCATATATACCAAGGTCTCAGGTATTAAACCACAATATACCTAGGTATTAAGTTATGTAAAATTATGATCTTAAATTTGGTTGCTTTTCAGCAGCCTTTCTAATCCAATTTATCACGTTTTAATCAGTTGATATTGTTTAATTTTAACGTAAGTATACCTTTTTATACAACTTGCATAAGTTATACAGTTAAAGTCAAGACTGCTTTGACATTAAACATGAAGCTGAACTTAGTTCAGTTGCAGACGCTAGAATAGATCCACAACACATAGGTAGCCCAATAATGGGCATAAAAACCTCAATTACCAGTTAAACCGTGTGCACTCCTGGAGATTCCCTTGTCCATCGTAATGAGCACAGTTCCCGTTATAGCCAAGGCCATAGCGCACAATTGTAGCAGCATGTGCGTCAATCTTCTATGCCTCAATCTCATAGGGGTGGACCATCCATTTGCATAGTTCAAACTCAGTATCGCCTCCGCTGAGAAAAAATGATACTGAAAAAGTTTAATTCTAAGAGAAGCTATCATACTTACATTATGGATGTTTGTTTTTTTCTACGCTTCAACAAATTGATTGATTAAATACTGTCTTTATATAATTTAAAAATCGAAAATAAATTGATTTTTCTTTTCGACAGGCAGGCAGGGCAGGACTTGAACCGGGATCTTCGACGTTCCGTGCAGTTGCTCTAACCAATTGAGCTACCGAGTCCTACACCTCATCGTCGAATTTTTTCAACTTATTGATACATGCACCACTCGCGCAATGTAATTTCAACCTTAACACTTGCGAATTAAGGTTTAACATTTTATGCTTTGCAGCTATATAGTGCCTTCATGTGTGTCAAACACTGTCTTTAGTTGAGACGAGTTTTACACATTTAAATAAAACACTTTAACGGTTTAAAACGCAATACATATTAGTTAAACTTATTTGAAAACTATTTTAACTACGGCCCGACGTTTCGCATGCTTTGCAGCAGACGTAACCGCAGCTAATATATGTATATCGCTTTTTAAACCGTTAAATTGTTTAATTTAACTTGATTGAGTTCGATAGTCTGACACGCTGCCATTCGAGAACAGACACCTAAGTTATACGTATTTAAATAAAACATTGTAACCGTTTGAATCGCGTACCTTAACTACAACCCACTCGTGTAAACAACAGACAATACTTAAGTTATGAATAGTTTTTACAAATATGATAATTTTTGTACATTATTATTTTGGCGGACTCGTTGTGTAGGAATGTATTGTCTGGGTAATAATCAACGAGTTGTGGGTTAGAATCCCACCAGGCCCGACATGTTTCTAATCAATTTATAATTTATTATGATATTGGCAAATTCCGTTCGGCTGACGTATTACCACTACAATTGAAAAAGCCGTAAAGTTTCTAGATTAGGTTTCAGCCGTGCATTCCCGAATATTTAAAGCCAAAACTAGGTTCTTCAACGCATCTTATTGAGATGTTTTACGGCGGGGAATTACAACTTCCATCAAGCGAACCCCGTGTTTTCTGTGCTTCTCTAACATAAAAAATATTACTTAGAACACCTAACAAAAGTACTCAATGTCCAACAAAGTCAATTGTCTCAAAAATCCAACCCCAGTTGACTATATGCTATAGTCACATGATCTGACCGACGCGACGGTCGAACCACCGTGTGCTTATACGTCAACACTTCTTCTTATAAGTATATGTACTTACTCCAAAAACACACAAAGGCACGTGGATATCACTGTTCGTCTTTAAAATAAACACCAACAATGTTGTTGTTACACCTCCTATCAACAATTGCGATATACCAATCGCCACAGCGCAAAGTACAACATTCCAGTACTCGCCAACGGGGTCTATTATAATCATACGCATCTTTAATGATATTAAAATTAGATCATAGGATAATTATTATAGTTTTCAATAACATTAATGTTTTGATTCTATATGATTAGATTTTTGACGTGTGTCATTTAATTGCATAACCACGCAGATCGAGACCCTATTCTTCCCAATGCGACATAATAATATCACACTCGACATTTCCATAAAAAAAAACTATAAAAAGCAAAAAATAAATTTATTTTTTTTATTTAATATTGAAATCTCATAGTTATTATTATGAATTATATTTAGTATAAATAAATGGTGAAATTATTTTTAGGGATAAAATTGTTTTATCTAGGTTGTATCTGTGGGTAATTATTGATCTAGGAGTTTTAATACAAATGTGTGTGTTCATCACTTTTCGCTCTGTGAAGAATGGCGAACACATCTTAGTGTCCATTTCACTGAGATGAATGATGAGAGTTCTGTGCCCTGCCCTATCCAAAACAAATACCTCTCGTGCTTAACACAACGGTAACACGTTTAACTATTGAGCTAAAATAGTTAAGTACGTATAATTCATACAAGTCATAACAGAAACAAACATTGTCTATAGTTTACGCAAATAGTACACATTTAAATAAAACACTTTAACGTTTTAAAACGCGATATATTAGTTAAACTTATTTGGAAATGATTTTTAACTTCGGCCCGACGTTTCGGATGCTTTGCAGCAGCCGTGACCACGGCTAACTAATACATCGCGTTTTAAACCGTTAAAGTGTTTTATTTAAAAGAAACTAACATTTTGTACTTTCATAACTCAAATTTTCATCTACGATTTTGCAGTACGACAGTTGGATGCCGATTGCTTAGATGTTATATGGCTGGGGTATTCTCCTCCCATCAAGCAAACTCCTTGCCTGTCTATCCTACTCTATAATAAAACAAAATATGTCGTAATAAAATGTTTTTTCCATTTACGAATCAAACTCTTTTCTCTACCTTATACTTACAGCAATAGTGCACAAAGCAGCATGGGTGTCTCCCACCTTGATGGAGAAGATGATAACAGACATCACAGTAGCTCCAATGAAGATATGAACAGCTCCTAGACCAATGGCACACCAGACACTTCTACAATATTTCCCGCTCGGCTCAATTATTAAAATTCTAAGCGGTGTGCGTTTGGGCGATCTATGTCGCTCTTGCTTTGATCTTCGATCCTTTAAGCTGGACTCTGGCGTTTCTTCTGTTATATCCATAATTGAAAGAATTTAAATCGAAAGTAAATATATGGATTATCTTTGTCTAAAGACATTGACAACAAATTGACAATTGACACAGAGATGTACAAAAAGTAGAATATAGGTTAACTTTTATAAAAATAAAAAAATATGTTTATTGTCTATGAATATATGTATATGTACACAGAAAAAAATCACTTTAAATTAAGTGTAACTAGCAATTAGTAACGTCATAAGTTCTTTTAAAAATTAATTTTTTTGCGTGATGCGGACGCATTTCTGTATCTGTTTCACTGATTCGTTCTTCAACAGGCAAGTAGTTGATCAGACTTCGGTGCCCTGCCCGACCGAAACAATGCCTTGTTTCCTGGGTTTCAAACACAGGACCTCTCGCGCTTAACGCAATGCTAGGCAATAAGTTTAATCATTTGGCTACCAAGGTAGTCATACAAATTAACTAGAACCTTATAAATAAAACACATACTCAATATTAATGCTCCTTCAATGGCTTATACAATACAATAAGCGTATAAAAAACACAAAACAAGATCGAAATATACGGAATCTCTTTAACAGGCGCCCATTTCACAAAAGACTGCTTGACAAGGCCGCTCATAAAACACACAGAAGACAGAGTAAAAGACAGCATTCCGGCGAATTTGTGCATTTTGTGGAAGGGCTCTCGAAAACGACCGAGCTCTTTTATGTCTATTCTAGTGCCTTTATAGTCATAGATCACTGTTCCAAATATCACATTCAAGATGGCTAAGACCCCTGCTGCAACTCCTGAAAAGATAATTAGAAAAAAAAGCCCATATACAAGAAGGTAGGTAATAAAAAAACTATAAATTATTGTTTTCTGTGATTTTGATGGTAGGTGAATACCCTAGCTATAAAATATCTAAACAATTTGCGCTATCGACCTATTTGGCTTCGGGCATTCGGAAATCCATAGACTAAAACCGAAGCACGATGGAACATAACGGTTTTTTCATCTATGGGTATAACTTACCTGCTATTGAATGAATAGTAATTTTGAACTTCCCAAAGAAGATAGTTACAAGCGTAGACATGACACCGAAAATTATGGCGAACAGCTGTAAGAACGCATGTTCGAATGGTCTATGGGGCAACCTCATAACAGCAGTAGAACCGGCTAATTTATGCAGAGCCAATATCGCCGACGGCATACATAGTTGGAACTTTAAAAGAGATGTTAAATGTTATCATTGTGTAAAGTGTAAAGTGGATACTGCAATTATTATACTTGTAAAACCGTTTTTAGGTCGTACAGATAGGAAACCCACAAAGATAGATATTTTTTTCACGTTTTCTTCACGTTTTCTGCCCTTTTTTGCTCCTATAAGTCACATTGCTCTAAACACAAAAAAATAATCAAATTGAACAAATAGTTCCTGAGAAAAGCGCGTTCAAACAAACAAACTCTTCAGCTTTATATATTAGTACAAATTGTGGACATATTTTACAGGAATTAACGAAATGTAATTATTTATTTTTAATAACCTTTACGAATCAATAGTTCTTCACACTAAAATGTGACATCAAAATTAATTTCATTTTAACTACATTACAAAGTATGTTATCGCAGTTATCAACTTGTTGCCTTAAGTCTTAAGAGGTATTTTCTTTAAAAACCTTAAAAAGTGCCTTATAATAAATATCAGAAAGTTGTGTTTTATATATTTAAGGATTGGGCTAGAACCTTAGCGAAGGTGAAACTGAAGGTTTTGTATAATATATGTATGTATAAATAAAGTTCCGTTTGCCCCCGGGAGACATGAGGCGAACACATTTGTGTGTACGACTGATCGATTTTATTTATAGGCAAACTGATCAGGCTGAGATTACAACAAAGGTTAAGGTTTAATTGAGTACGAAAGGAAAATAATTGTATCCTATAGAAAGGAAAAAGATGGAAGGTCATTCGACCGGGGTTGTTGTACAGGATAGGAAGGTTTAAGGAGGCCTTTGACCAAGGGCACACCAATCTTAGCATCTTAGCAAGGCACAAATTCTAATGCCAATGTATGAACGTAGACATGTGTCTCTCTTATTTTTTTTAATACGAATAAAGACTTTTTTTGAGCTGATGTGCTAATGTGCCTGTCAGAATTTGAGAATAAGCTTCTAGATAAACTGCTTATCTAAGGAGACTGTACATTTACTATTTTTCTCAATTGCTTCAATTGTTTGTAATACCTCTAGGAATTGACCAGCTAAGGATAGTTGTGGTCTCCCCTTCCTCGGCCAAAGAGGGCTCGGGTTTTTTAACTTCACAAGCTCTTAATATAAATTTATTCGTGTTTTTAAGAACAAAAATTTACCCCAGCAGTTCCAAGCGCCATGTGAGAAGCATATAGACATGTATTCTTCTTGAAGCTTAAAGAATAGTAGAATATGATCATGCTATTCGCGCCCATCATCATATGGGCCAGAACGATAGCAGCAGCGGCAAAACGCTTCCTCATATACAAATTCTTGGGCTGATCTACCAGAATAATCTTCACGGGTCCCATAAATTCAATGACGTCTTTCCCAGCGTCCTCCCCCGTGACACACTCCAAGTTACAGCCGCGGCTCGCCATTTTGAGTTCTGATAAAATATGATTCACGGAATCTACATCTTTCCACGCACGTCTGAGAATTATGTCAGCTGACGTGGTGTCAAGTGATTCTCGAGTGACAGATAATGAAATGAAAACTGCTTAGATAAAGTTCCTTGCACCTGTTTTGTTTCGAGGCGTTTGTCGAGATGGTGATAATATTTTTCAAGTGTTGTCAACTGCACAGGATAAGCTGTGCAGTTTTAGATTAGTTTGTTATCATTCTTATATAAGTTTTAGATAAATTAAAGTATTTTTAACGGTTTAAAAAGCGTAAATATAAGTCGTTTTAACGGCCAATACCTATGAGTATAAATTATTCTACACGCGAAGTCGTCTTAAAATATATATATACTAATATTTTCTTCAAAATTTAGAGTAACCTTGATTTTAAATTACTACAAACACATGTTACTAAAAAAGGTATATTTGAACTTTTGTCTTTGTTTATCGCACGATAAAATTCGTATACATACAAACATAATTCCATTTCGAATAAGTTAAAAAACATCGATATTTTTGCCAATTCCATGACAGTATGTAAAATACTTTGTATGTGGTAAATGTTCTGTACTGTATATGTGTGTAAAAAGTGGTATATGTTCCGATCTCTTAATGCATCTTGGAATAAAAAAGGAAATCAAACATACCTAATTATTATTAAAGAACGCCTAAGCTGAACAAAAGACAAGCTCATAAAGCCTTATTAAATAAACACGTTTAATGTGAAACAGAGGCGAACAGGAGACTGGAAGGGAGTGACCACAGCCCTGTTTTAGAGCTCATTCGCGGATAGAGCTGTAATCCCAACAAAATTACTTTCCCTCCGAGATTGAGCCTCCCCCGCAGAAACAATAGCGATTTTCGACTACCCTCATTACGTTTTATTACTATAAAGCTACACGGTTTCGCTTTTTTCACATATAAATATAAATGAAGCTATAAAAGTCGGTAGGAAACATTAATGGGAAAATGTTCTCTTTTATTATTCCTTGCGGCTTCGAATGAAAATATGAAGCGCCATCTGAACTATATACTAAATTTGGTTTAATTTTAACGATGTGAAAAATTCTGTCGTTTTTTATTTTCGTATGCCTTACGCCGTTGCTAAAGTAAAGCTAAACGTGACTGTATGTGTAAGAATAATAAATTACGTATTTTACATACATCCCATGTGCATAATTATTTGTATAATATTGAAAAAGAAAATACTAACAAAGTACCATTCCAAGCTTAATTTCGCTTCACCTCGATGGCCACGGGATAGAAACTTTTCTGTCTGTTTCGATGATCGCTTTAAAGCACAGCTGTGTCGGATATGTATTGTGTTTTTCTCGTGTGTCGAACCAAGCAATCAAGTAAGAACTTTAGTGTCAGTCAATGCTAGGCAATGTATTTAATCATTGAGCTAAGAATGCGGTCAGTATTAGCATACAAGAATAATACTCTAATTGTTAATACCTTTTATTCATAATAATATTTGCATTTCATTCATTAATTCCGATAAAACAAAGAAACAATTGAATCTCTCCTATTTCATTTTAAACAAACAAAAGCTAACTTATTTACACTAATTGCGAGACGCGTAAATCCGATAATAAAATAATGGAATCGAAATAAAATAAAACAAACTTAAATTACAATCACTGCTCTACCAGAGTAAAACTCAATTGTGTAAGTTGACTTAAAAGTACGTATGAGCCGCTGTTTACGTAAGTTATATAAATGATATTTATCTGTTTAAATACGATGTGTATTAGATGATTTATTTTTACTTATGCAGATCAGTACGTTTTGCATGGTTTTGAGTTATGATCACGGTACCGTCCCTCCGTGACACCGTAGTCATTTATTATTTTTCGCGTTTCTTAGTGAAAAAGTGTTTTATTTAGTATTAACCTGTTTCATACAACGTTTTAATTTCTATGAACAATGTTGCAGGTTTACGAAGTCTAATAAGGAGCCTATAAGCATTATGTAGAGATAATCCTATTAAGGGTCACGTAATTTCTACTCCTTCCTCTAAATATCCCTAGTCTAAACAAATGACTAAAAGTCCAAAGACATAATAAGTTAACAGCACATCTGAATTAAATGCTTTATACCTTTAATCGAACGAATCCCATGCTTGTCTGTCCTCCCTTATAAATGTGGTTACAGAAAGCTACACCGGCATTATACTCTACAGCTCACGGACGCATCAATAAACACGTTAATATATCGCCTGCGCGAACTCGCCTTAAACTTACTGACGTCTAGCTGGAATCAATTATTAAAACTGTACCATAAAGAACCGAACGAAGGGATTAATTCGATTGCTGGAGCAATTACCCACGGTCACGACGCTTTGTGATTCATCGCGATCATTACAATATAAATCATTTAGGGACGACGTGTGAATTTACATAGCCGGTCGATAAATATGCAAATTTTAAGAAACTCCAATTAAGTTTTAATCAACTTGCTGTATGAAAATATTACGTGCTGCCTTCTCATTTTTTACACTAATGCTGTAATATTTTTGCCGTATTAATCTAGCTGGGACAGTGTTTATGGCGTGTTATAAAACGCTACTTATTTATTGTGTTACTGACTTTGCGTTTCTTAGAAGACATACGTAGTTTTTCCACCAGTCGCTATAAAGGGTTTTAAAGGTAGCAAAGGATTTTGACTTAGATTTTGACGAGCGCGTTGGTACAATGGTAGCGATGTATGGCAAACAATCAACGGGTCGATTTAATCCCCACCGGATCCAACAAGTTTTTAAGCATTTTATAATTTTTTTGAACTCCACATACGAACTTCAACATCAGACTTCGCCTGGAAATCTGAATCTGGAATATCGAAGCTCTCGAAAATAGTTTTATTTTGGAAATTAAATCTGTCTGCCCAAATAGTGGCAAATTTTACTTTTAAGCTGTAAGTTATTAAAAAAATATGTTCAAATAAGATGGAAACTAAGAACTTATGAGTTTTTGATGTACAAATTTTGTTTCCGTAGAACGTCCAAAAAAAAGTAAAACGTTCACTACTGTACTTTCTTTCTTCTATCCTAAAAAGAAAACAATAAGTATTAAAATTTACAAATTACTTTAATTTCTGCATCAAGCAATTGTCAATCCAAATACCTTGATTATTAATAACACCGACCAAGACAATTATCGGTGAGTTTATCAATTTTATCTTTGCATTAGCGTAAAACGTAATATGTACTTTGCTTTGTTGTTTTAATACGTGTGTAACGAAGCATAAAGTATTACTTGTAAAACATTTTTTTTAAATTGAGTACGATGCTTTTGCAAATGTGTACAGACATACCTACATAGATTCTAGGCTTATGCTAGATAGAATTTTCATCTGTGGACAGTTATTCGTGACCAGGACGGAATTTCAATATTTCTAAGTCGTTTAATATCCAGATGAACACCAACCTATTTTAGAAATGAATTAGAAACATCTTGGACCCGGTGGGGATAAGGTTACCTGGACACTTAATGGCTACCATTAGTCGTTTAAAAGTGAGATAAATTTATGTACTCATATACCTACACATGAGCCAAGGGAAAATCATACTTATACCAAGGAAAACAATGTACGACATTTAAATAAAACCCTTTGAAGTTGAAATTGAAATTGAAATTGGAAATGGAATGAAAATGAAATTAAATTGAAACTGAAACTGAAATTGAAACTGAACTTGAAATTGAAATTGAAACTTAAATTGAAATTGAAATATATTATAAACTAGCTGTGCTAGCGACTTCGTCCGCGAGAATCGTTATTTTAGGCATCTAAATTAGTTTTTGCAAACCCCGTCATCTTAATAAACTTAAGCTGTTAGCCATGACGTCGATCGCACCCCTTCCCATCGTTCTTGCAAGTTAATCTTAAAAGACAAACGTCGCGGACTTTTTTTTAGATCATTTAAAGAGGAATCATTCTTTTATACAATTTTTTTTAGGTATCTTGAACCGTATTCCCAGCGTACGCGTCTGACGCCCACAGAGATGAAAATTTCCCCTGTTTTGTTTACATTTCTCGCTGTATCTTCGCTTCTATTAGTCACAGCGCGATGTTTTATAGCCTATAGCCTTCCTGGATAAATGGTCCAACCAACACAAAGAAATCTTCAATTCAAACCCGTAGTTCCTGAGATTAGCGCGTTCAAACAAACAAACTCTTCAGCTTTATATATTAGTATAGATGTGAAAGTAACACTGTCCGTCTGTCTATCCGGCTGTAACGCCGAAACTACTGAACCGATTTAAATGAAATTTGGTACACAGATATTCTAGAACCTGAGAATGGACATAGGCCTAAACTTTTTAATGCCAAAAAGAGTTGTTAGGGATAAGGGAAAATGAAAATTCGTCATCTTAGAAGCTAGAACAACGAAACTTACTTCTTTGGCTTTTTGGGAATGAGAGTGAGAGTGGCAGTGTTGCGGCAAAGTAGCACTTACACCCAGACTGGCTGCCTTATAAATTAATAAGTAGCCTAAATAAAAAATCTACCCAAATTCACTATTGCACGCGGACGAAGTCGCGGGAACAGCGAGTGTTTAAATATACAGACCAAACCTTACTTTGCACTTAAATATCGCACATAAAGCAATCCGTTATTGTTAGTTATATTAAAAAGTTAAAGTAATACAGAAGGCATTAGCTTCGGGGCCCTGCATTAGACGAATCGCTTAAAAGCATTGTCTTGTATCGCTGCGAAATGAGATGTACCAAGTTCCAAGTGTTACGTCTTTGAACCCTGTTTAGAAGCGACGGAACCCACACACGGAATTCTATTATCTGCAAAGTGGAATGGAATAAGCACTCGCAGGAATGGGGAATACAAAATGTTTACAGAGCATCTCATTTGTTAGATTTAGCATTGTAGACGTTACTTTATATAACAGTTTTAATATTATTTCTATATAAGGGTAATATGGTCATAGTTTAAAGTAATAACGAAAAAAATGTGTCATAATA